CAAAGATGTGCAGATACTTTAACAGTGCATCTGAACTTGGACCTTATTTAAAGAATAAATAACTGTTTCTTTTCCTTTAGCCACGAAGGACAATGGCAAGGACATGAAATCATGGTGAATAGTTTATTTATGGAAAAAAGCATGCTGGGAACTTAGAAAAGAGACATCGTTTTGCATGGAAAAACATTTTTGTGCATGTGAATTCATGAAATCACATTATCAGTGGACTGTACCATGCATGCTGTTTTTAAAATGTATTAAAATGTATTTTAAAAGCAGCCATAAAATATAGCCGCCTACCTGTGCAATAACCCAGTAGCTGTAAATCTGGTAATTGATGTGTTTGTCATAATACTTAAATATTCGATTAACTGGACTAATTTTGTTCTTATTTATCAGGGACCAGACATTGTCCTTTTTCCAGTTTTGCATACAAGTTCTCCTGTACTGTAAATATTACACATAGTTTGTAACATGGATGGAAGCGCATTTGGTCATGAATTAGGTCAGGTTTTAATACCCATCCTGGTTCGTTTTATTGCTCGGCAGCTGGTATGTACAGGGTCAGAGAAACCGAGTTAAAGGTGAGCAAAGATGCTGACTGATCATGACCTGTTGGATGTTTAATTTAAAACTAGATGGCATGTATTTCTCAGATTACGATTCACCTTGGAAGAAAATCTAAAGTAGCACCGTCACGCTTCACTCAAAGCGATCTCAGTTAGTGTTTCGAAAAGGTTTGTTTCTTTTCAGTGATTTCTGCCTCGTCTCTTTGTAGTGTGAGGCCTTCCCTCATTGAGTACCTGAGTTACAATCTGAACTTTCTGAGTGTCTTGGTGGGGCCATGCAGTAACTACAAAGAGTACATAGACTTCATAGAGGGCAGACACATCAGCACGAGGCTCAAGCAGCAGCATGCCTCAAGTAATCGGCAGAATGGCTACAATAAGACCCAGGACCCATCACCTCTGGTAAGTTCATGAATACTGGTTACTACTCTTGTAGTCTTTAACTATTTTCATTTTTATATTGATAGGTTATTGTTTTATCAGGAGGGGGATTAAATGCTTATCCAGCAATATGTTTCTTCTTCCATTGGTTGGAATCTCTGTAACTTTACTACAGTGGCTTTACTTCTTGTTCTTGTTTTATTGAAAGAGCGTTTGAACTGTCCTTTACTTTACATCATTCACAGTTCAAAAATAATTCTTTTACTGGGATTCTCATTGAATCTATTGAATTCTCAGAAAACAAATAAAACGTCTAAGCTATAAATGTTTCTTTCTGTTACTCTGTTATAGTAATTGAAATCTGTGCAAAGTTGCTATCAAAATTATGATACATCCCGTGATGCTAGCGCTGAAAGTTGATTAAAGAAAATTAGATTTTTCTTTACATTGTAAAACTTGCAGAGGGTGGAAAATTACATTGGTTACAATTTGTTTCATGTGATAGCTGTTGTACTTAAGGAGTTATGCTGGAAAAAACAATAATGTAAACTAAAAAGCACCAAATTTCAACCTAACCTCTTTAACATAAATTACATGGGGGCCTATAACTCAGAAAATACCTTCAGTAGGGAGGTTAAAGTTTTGCGTGGCTTCATTTTCATAAAAAAAGAATAGAAAAGTCTTGGCTGATGTGGACTAGATAAAAAATCTGCTACAAACATATAGTCGCAGAAAGGCCAGATATTACTGAGGTACCCAGGAGGACTTTTTTCAGCTTCAAAGAAAATGTGTAACTTCTGTGGTTACAGAGTGGACCACAGAGGTTGGATCTAGTGTCTAGTGGATACATTTTAAATGTATCCACTAGAGCAGAGCTACAAACTGATAGTTTGTTTCTGGTTTCTCTTGGGTTAAGTTAAGCCATAGATGCTGATTTCTGCTAGTTTGAGAGTTGCTTAAGATTTAATGGTAATCATAATATTATCCATTTGTAATGGGTGCTTCTATCAGTACTCAGAAGTAATTTGCTTTCTCTGCAGAACGCCGTTTGTCATAAGCTGCTAGTCTGTGCCGGCTGTATGCTGTTCTTCCTTACTGTCACTCGGGCCTTGCCCATAAAGTACAACGTTGACCCCGACTTTGTGAGCCAAGCCTCCTTCCTCACCAGGCTCACTTATGCTTTCTTCTCCATACAAGCTGCAAGGCCCAAATTCTACTTCGCCTGGACATTAGGTGGGTATTTAGTGCGTCTGTGTGTTTTACTTGGCCAGTTTTTTATTGCTTCTGGGGACAAATGCCACGGACGTCATGTGATGATCTTCCTCTTCCTCCGTCAGCTGATGCAGTCAACAATGCTGCAGGATATGGTTTCCTTGGGATGGATGAACATGGAAAGCCATCCTGGGACCTCATCAGCAACCTCAACATCATCGGGATTGAGGTGCCGTGTTTCAGATGCTTAAAATCGAGAGCATGATCTTTCAGCACTGTGTCCAATTGTGAGTTAATTAGACACTGGAGCACACTCTTATTGTAGCTACTGATCTTTTTTCTTTTAGACAGCAACCAGCTTCAAGACCTTCATAGACAACTGGAATATTCGAACAGGAATTTGGCTTAAAACGTAAGTGTTGCGAGTGTGAAATCAAATTGTGTGCACAGTCGGAAAGTGAAAAAAAAAAAGTGAAATTCCCAACCCGTTCCTTTTTCAGGGTGTGCTATGACCGAGCACCAAAGCACTGTTTGGCGTTGACCTTTATCCTGTCTGCTTTGTGGCATGGTGTTTATCCAGGGTACTATTTTACCTTCCTCACCGCCATCCCCATCACCATAGCAGCAAGAGCTGTAAGTTGTCTACATTCTCTGCAAAGTAATGCTCTAAAATACAAATGGAAGGTAATCGGACGGTATGGACACAAACTGACCATGAATAGATGGGACAGCTCTTGTTACATTTACAACGGTGCAATTCCAGTAGCTTTGTGAAGATTAAGGATATTTAATTTTCCTCAGTACAACTACAAACAAAAACATATCTCATCAGTATGAAAGTGGTTCTAAAAATGTTTTTAGTGCCTGTTCAAACAAAACCTCTCTGGTAACAACTTTAACTGACTTTTTATTGCACTTGGCACGTTCTGCTTCTCGCATGTTAATTAAATAGTTCAACAAAAGTTTTCCTTGAATACACTAATCCTGTCATCTGTTAAACAATAATTGTTGTCCGTCTGCCTCTCCCCACCAGATACGGAGGTCAATTCGTCATTACTTCCTGGGCTCCAGAGTCATGAAGCTGGGTTATGACATCTTGACTTGGGCAGCCACACAGCTGGCCATCTGTTACACTGTCATGCCTTTTCTCCTTCTTGCAGTTGACCACACTATAGTTTATTACAGGTACGTCATACCCCGCTTTAATCAAACTGTCCTTTTGCTTCAACTCTGTGTGGTTCTGCTTTCTATTAATCTTTCTATGTACTCATACATGTGAAGGTGAGCAGGAACCCCTGTACATACATCCATAAACTTCCAAAGAGGCGTAATCACAGGCATGCCGAGTGGATTGTCAACAGTTCTTATATCATGCGTCAATAAACTGTTCTTGGCCACATTTCCTCTCTTTGACAGTTAACGAGAGACAGGAAGTAAGGGCAAGTCCCCGAGACTGCTCTTTGCAGTGCTGTAGATTCTCCTTTAGCTCTAACATAATAAATCCCCTTTATTTCCTTATTTTCTGCAGTAAATGTCTGTGTGCACACCTGTAGACCATATAGGAGCATGCAGCTGTGTGTTTATTTAAAAATCCTTTACTATTTAAAAACATTAAACAATTCGGTGATGTTTCATGTTTGTGTGTATTTTGATGGTCTTAGAACCAATTGTTAATCCACACTCACTGGCCATTTTATTAGGTATACCATGCTAATACTGGTATTAGCATGGTATAGTTTTGAAGGCCCTGCTTCAGTTTTTTTCACAGCATTGGTTCACCTAGGTTCATTAGTCCATACTGACATGCAAGCATGACAGTTGCTACAGATTTTCTTTGCTGCTCATCCATGATGTGAATTTCCTAAACTACCACACCCCAAAGGTGCTTTTAGATTGAGAGCTGTTGATTGTGGAGGATATTTGAGTACAGTGAGCTCATTGTCATGTTCAAGAAACCAGTTTTGAGGTTAATTTTTTCTGCATTTTGGCATGGTGTGTTATTGTGCTGGTAGCACCATTAAAAACTAGTTACATTGTGGTTACAAAGGGATGAACATAGTCAGCAACAATAGTCAGGTAGGTCAGTTTGTGCTTAATGGGCTCAAAGTGTACCAAGGTGTGGTCCCCCACACCATTGCACCACCAACGGCAGCCTGAACCATTAATACCATGCAGGGCGTGCCTTGGAGAGTCATGCTTTCATGACTCTCCAAACTCTGACCCTAACGTCTGAATCTGGCAGCAGAAATTGTAACTCATCAGCATCTTATCCAAGCAACGTTTTTCCAGTGTCTAGTTTTGGAGAGCCACTGTGAGTTTCCTGTTCTTAGCTGACAGCATGATGTGGTTTTCTGCTACTATTGTGCATTAAGAGATGGTCTTCTGCATACCTTGGTTGTAATTATTTGGGTGTAATAATATGAATCACCGTTACTTTCCTATCAGCTCTAAAGTAGTCTGGCCATTTTGACCTCTGGCATCAACAAGGCATTTTTACCCAGAGAACTGCTTCTTACTGGATATATTTTTATTTATTTTTAACCATTTGGACCACCAGACTGTTGTGTGGGAAACTGTCAGTAGCTCAGCAGTTTCTGAAATGCTCAGGATACTCCAGCCATCTGGCACCAACAACCATGTCATTCACTTCACCTTTCTTTCTTTCTCATTCTGTTGCTTAGTTTGAACTTCAGCAGGTCACCTTAACCATACTCACGTGCCTAAATGCATTATGTTGTTGCCATGTGACTAGTTTTGAAACATATGATGACTACTTGCCCCATTGTAAACACAATGCGCATGGTTTCTTGTCATAAGTTAGTAGTTAAGTTTGAGGAAGTTTCTCTGGATTCATACAACAAAGTGTGATATTGTTGCTCGTTTCTAATCTGAATTATTAATGAATCTAGTATAAATCTAGCTGGATCATTTTTGCCCCTACATAATAAAAGTTCCACTCTGTTTTTCCCACCTAGGTCCATGTACTTCCACGTGCACATAATCAGCATTCTGGCTGCAGTCGCCCTGCATCGCAAACACAAACCCAGGGAACCCACCACCAAAACCTCCTCTGTGTCCTCCTCCGCTCCGTGCTCAGCCCAGTGCCAGCATGTTCACTCCAACAACAATGACAAAGACTGAAAATCTCACTTTGCGTTCTTTTACCAGGCTTTTAGGACTCGGCCTCCTTTCAAAGACAAATGAGTATCCCTAGGGCATTCAGCCAGCTTGAAATGGGAAAACATTGTGCTATTTATTTTTTGACTATACAGAGTAAAGAAAATTTGTACTTATGGTACTGGATGTGTACGGGGAGAGCCCTCTCCCATGATTGAAGCTCATCAGGCAGACACTGAAGAAAAACCTCAGCTGAGGAAATGGTTCTGGTACAACCACCACCACCAGAATGCTGGCCCCCAACCCCCTTTCCCCTTTTACCTACTCCCGCTCTCTGCAGCTTTTCCTCCCTCCTTGGCCATCTCACCAGCACCAGCCTGCCTCCTCCAACAACAATACAACAGTGTGAAGAGAGTATTGAGACTCACTTTCGTTCCTGTCCTCAATCTGTGCTGTCCCACTGACTGGTGGGATCTCAGCCAGCACAGCGGGTCAGCAGCTCATAAACGGGCCACAAATACCAGGACACATGCACACGCAAACTCATGCATAAATAGACACTAGGAAACAAAAACGCACATATAGTCGCTCTTAGACATGCTTGTACTCGGTCGCATTCGGGCGGCACACAAAGGCTGCCCTTGTGAGGCTGCAGAGGAGCATGCCAAGAGGAGGCTGCACCCGCTGCACTCGCTCTGCCCAGAGGATTTTGTAGATCTGTGTGGGTGATGGTTCGCCCCACTGTTATATCCCAACAGCCACTGTCAGTGACCCCCGAGTGTGTGGACCTAATCATGAAACACTATGGACTGTCACAATACTTCCACTGTTTACTGGCTTGGATTAAAACCACATGAAAAACTAATCAGACCATGGAGCTCTTAAGCTTTTTAGTGGAAGCCTTAATATTACTGTTAACCATTACTAATGTTTTTTAATGAGTATGGCAGCTCCTTCAGGTGAGGAGACTAGTATTTTATAGTTTCTATATTTCTTGGCTTCCCTCCCTGTGAACAAAAAGGAAAAGGTAAGAAATAAAATGAAATCTTTTGCCCTTGTTGGTT